AGAGAGAGAGAGAGAGAGAGAGAGAGAGAGAGAGAGAGAGAGAGAGAGAGAGAGAGAGAGAGAGAGAGAGAGAGAGTTATAGCTATGCGCCAAGGAAGGCTGGGTAGCATGAAAAACTCGGGATTACCTCTTCGAGTAAGGAATGTGTGTGTTGACGACTTCGATTTGTGTGTCAATGGTTGCTTACGTACCAGTGCTTTTCTTATCTTCTGTGTGAGATTCTCGTATCGACTACGGGTGAATGGCCATCTCAATGTCGTGCACATATTATCACGTATGGTGCCCGTCACGCAGTGTCTCAAATCGCGGATGTGTTAACACTGCCTCCACCTGACAACACACAACCCAAAAATAATAAATGAAAATAAAAAATCCACAGAAAAAAAAAAAACATAACAAAAAGTGTAATGGTGATGCTGTTGCTGAAAGGACCGAAATGTCACGAGATGAACTTGTTTCTTTTTTTTTTGGCATGCAAGTCGCATGTGGAACAACAACTCAACGACGATCGACATTTGGAAATGCAAATAAGCGCAGACGAGATACATGATAGAAGTCTCATATAGGAGACAATAAAACAAAACCGTCGTTGAGAAGGACACAACCAGACGCAAGAAGACGACCTCACACACAAGTCCAAAAGAAAAACACATTCTTGTACTTGAGAAATCGATTCAGCACTCGTGCAGAGCAACCAAAATTTTTTAAGCACGTGCAAACATGGATAAGCACGTGAACATAAACACCGCACCGGGCTCCCACCCGCCTACCGCTCCCACCTGACGTGGCAGACTTGCGCACCGCCCTAACCACTACCACCCACCACCACACCGCCTCCACTCCCCCACCCCAAGCCCCGCAATCGCCAGAAACGTGGCGAAAAAAAAGGTATGGTGAAACCAGTAAAGAAAAGATGCGGCTACAACGCGAGGAACAACGATAGTCCTCGTCACTACAAGCATTCACCCCGATGATTGGTGAACGAAACACCCTCGTTGTTGTCATCCACAATTACGAGGACGGCCAAACAAGCCGTCCTCGACGGAAGAAACGTCCAACACACGACGATAGAGGACAAAATACCATCCGCGCATGAAAGCCAACGAAGCGAGCGCTCTGGATCGACGACGGCGGGACAGGACATGAGCATGGTACTTTCATTGCGACAAACAGCCACTGGCAGGTCGTATCGCAGATTACATGTGCTTCATTCGCTCTGCTAGAGCGTTCCAGAGCACGACCCCCTCGGTCGTGGAAGCGGAATTGCTGACTGGCTGCGGGGAAGATGAATCCCCAGATCCACTCGGCGCCGCACCCCGTTTGCGTCGACCTCCCATAGCAGATTCTCGTCGAACTCGAGACCAACATCCAGGAGAATGTTGTGTAGTATGCAGACGGCCGTGAACTGCTGCGACAAAGTGTCTAGGTTGGTTTTGTGTGTCCGCAAGAAGAGCCTCCACATCCCCTTCAACCGCCCGAATGCCCTCTCCACAGCCCCTCTTGCGACCTTCTGCTTCGTGTCGAACCTTTCCGCGCCAGAGGGCTGATTGATTCCGTCGTACGACACCACTACCCATTCAGAAGGAGGGTACCGTGACCCGTTGTTGCCCAAGATGTATCTGTTTGTCCTCACCCCGCCCGACAGCGTGACAGGCGGTTCATGAAACAGTGTTCCCTCTTCCGAGCGGCGCAACGACAGACTAGACAGTTGGATCACCCTTATGTCATGGCAGCTCCTGGGATACCCAACGAACACGTCCAAAACGCGCAGATCCAAGTCGACTACGACATGCGCAACGACGGAGAAACGGTGTTTGCACTCGAAGTAGTTGTCGCTGGGGGTGTTTGCCGGTTTGTCGACGTAGATGTGTGTGCAGTCGACGACGGCGTGACAGTTGGGAAAACCCTTCTCCAAAAACGTCCGGAGCATGACGTGTTTCCGCATGCCCGTAGACCAGGAAATCGTGTCTGCGTAGACCCTCAACAGCGCAGATGTGACATCGCGCATGGCAAGAAGTTCAGAAGCTCGCCCTATGTCGAAAGACGACGTGCTCTTGTTGTATGTCTCCCCCATAGCCCACCTGTACAACGCGTACGCGACGATCTGTTCTGGCTGCAGTGACTCCTTGTAGAACGTGACCTGTTGTTGTAGATGTGGAGCACAGGCTTCGCTGATCTCCATGAAAACTCGCCTGGACATGTGGAGCTCAGGCTTTTCCCGAAAGTAGTCGTAAGTCGCATCATCGCACACCCGCAAATCCTCCCAAGTGCCTTCTGTTGTCCACTTCATCCACCAACGTGGCGTTGCCCGAGGAAGCACACCACACCCGATTGCAGCGCGCAACTGAACCACGGCCTTCGAGTTGCTAATGCAGTCCGGGGCGTCCACGACCCTCTGCACCAGAAGCCTCTGCCGCCGCCTCGAATGCGTCACCTTCATGCGCCCTGCCGCCCTCGCGACTTGGCTGCGGATCACCACGGCGAGCGCAGCCACCACGACCGTTGTCTTCTCCATCGTCGACAACAAGACACGACGACCCTCGCCGCCACCCTCCATCTCGCCCTTCGTACTGGAAAACGAATGCCCGCCACCTGCCGCAACCACCAACGCGACCACAACGGTGACACCTGCAATTTGCGTTCCGCCACCCCCGCTGAGCGACGTCCTCCCCGATGGAATCGTCAGTCCGCCACCGCTGAAGTGCAGAACCACAACGCGCGGACACGTGCAGCGAGGATTGACCCTCTCCAGTTTGCCGCGTCGACGACACCGCAGACCGTGGCCGTGTGTCGCCACTGAAGTACGCAAGGCAATGGCATCCGGAACCAGTCGCAGCCTGCGCGGCGTGCACTGCACCGTTCAGGACCCGCCTGTGCGCTGCCTCCTCGTCGTCCCGCAGCCCGTGATTTCAAATTCCGGATTTCAAATGGGTCATTTCCCGCGTTCGCGACTTTCATTTCCAAGGCGCGTGACGCGATGCCGCCGTACGCCTGCTGGACCACGATGACTCCTTGCCGGACATCCCGAATCGGAGGTCGGACAACCCCCCCGCGGCCCCATATAATCTCATGAAACGGGCCACAGGAGGGCCCTGAGGATTTGTCCTCGGGGCGATTCTCCGAGGACAGGTGGAAAAACGCCTTCAAAAACCAAAGAATTTTTTGAGGATTCGTCCTGGGCACCCGAGGACGCGCTGAGGAGTGTCTAACGACGCCCTAAACTGACCATGTTTGGGCACAGTTTTTGGTCACGTGAGACCTCGCATGACTCCAATGAGCATATGCTAATCTGGTCGTATAAGCGACCAGATACATCCAAAAGACTCAGTTGAGATCATGTAAGATGAAGGTACGATGTCCGGCGTCCGCGGACATACATACCATCATTTGTGGAAACTTCAAAATCTAGCCGCTGAAAAAAAAAAACACTATTTCGTCATGTCAGCAAAATATTTCAATTTTAACTAAAAGGCACTTATATTTCAATTTGAACTAAAAGGCACTTACCAGTACCTTTCCGCGCTTGAAAAACAAAGGCGCGGCCCTTAACATGGAGGTACCTGTCCGCCGTGAAATGGCTGGCGGAAGCGGGTAGGTGCGTCCATATGGAAACACATTTTTTCGGTGCGCAGGAAAATTTCAGGCCGGCGGCGCATATATACCACTGTGTTGCCTGCATTCATATATACCACTGTGTTGCCTGCATTCCTCTCTTCCTCTGAGAAAGGTTTGACCCAACCATAGCCAGGAAGGCTTCTGTGAGAAGAATACGGTCGCTCAGGCTGCCTGCCTGGTCCCCTGTCAGTGGCACCAATCTCCCCCGTCCGGTAGCGTGTGGCGGAGCACTCCTGCTCCTGAAAGCACGCCCGTCGCCCGCAGAGCATCACTGTCACACTATGGAAAAACACACGATCGAGAATGGTGGAGCGAGGCCCATTATGGGCATAGCCACACGACTCTCTAAATGTGCAAAATGAGGATGAACTTCCCGCTAGGACATGGCCAGATGCACCCGCCACATTTTTGTTGTTCTCACATTTCGAGAGTGGTGTGGCAGGCCTACGGGCCTAGCTCAGTTGGTAAGGCACAGAACTTGCATTCAGAGGTCGTGGGTTCAGACGTACTTGCCTGGGCAAGCTTGGTGTTCTACCAGCGAGAGATAACCCATTGGCCTTGACTGCTATGCAGCAACAATATTGGCCATTAGACACCGCCGTGTGGGGTTGGGGGGGGGTAGCGGGAGGTGCAGTGACTGGCCATTGCTCGGCGCTAGCACCGCCGATTTCCCCTATCGGCAATGCCTGCCCACCCCTCGTCACCGTGATGAGGGACTGGTACAGCCTTGCTCTCGCACCACAGCTGTGGTGCAAACCTACCCCGTGGGCTGGGGAGAGATCCGGGTTGGTTGGTGTTCCCCCGTACTATAAATAGACTACTGGGAGGATGAGATAGATGCGTACTACCAAGAAAAGATGAAATAGGTTGAGTTACTTAAAAAAAAAAAGAGTGGTGTGGCGAGGCCCTTGTGCCGTTAGCTGTGCCTGCCGGATTGTTTAGCCACGTAGGCAGAGTTCATTTCATCACGCTTTTTTTTTTTTTTTTTTTTTTTTTTTTTTTTTTTTTTTTTTTTTTTCTTTTCTTCGTGGACCATTTCTCAATTTATGCGTGTCATCATCCTTGCGCAGGGGCCCGCCACCTAGAGATATAGACCACTGGATCCCCCGGGGCTAGGTCCCACTTGCACGAATTAAGAGATATTGACCGTAGATAGCAAAGATCAACGGCCAGAATCTCTTAATCCGTGCCCCGGATCGGTATTGAGCAGAGCCTGCTGATGTTCGTAAAGGGGGGGACCACCACCTGAGGGGAGACACAGGATTGGTCCTGTTGGCAAGGTCCCTGATGCTACGGGCTGTTCCCTTCCCCTAGCCGGTATCGCCCACCTGGGCTGAGGTCCCACTAGCAAGGGATAGGATCAAGCTCCTGAATCTGGGCGTGTTTTATGCAAAGATGCAGAAATCCTGCACATCTCCATAACCTCGTCCAGATTCAGGCATTCGATCTGATCCTCTTTGCTAGTGGGACTACGCCCCTGCAGGTCGGGGGAGCAGCCCCCGCATGTTCTCTCGTGAACACGGTGGTAGGTAGCTAGTGTGAGGTGAACACGGTTTTTTTTTTCTTTTTTTTTTTTTTAAACCACCAGTACCTCGCTCAGCTATCAAGTCCAAGCCTCGGCCGACCGGTACGCCGATCCTTGCCGAGGCTCGGACTACCGGGCGCAGGCATCCCGAACGTCCATGTGAGACAGACGAAAAAAACGGGAAGAAAACAAAGAAATAAGAAAAATAAATGGTTCATTCCCGCTGCCTGCTGTAGGAAGG